AAATGACGGCCGACGAAGTTTTCGAATACATAGGGCTCTATGGGCACCAGAAACCGAAAACGGGCAAAAATGGGCTCCATTTTCCTATTGAAATTTTCAGAAAATCACTTATAACTTTTGAATAAGGTATCATATCGGGCTGAAACTTTGGCATCTGGTTGTGACCTAGCGCTACCTTTGGGTGGAAAATGAGCGTTAAAAATGGGAAGTTTTTTTGCGGTAAAAAAGAAAAATTTTAATCTTTTTTGTGACATCCTGTACCCGTTTTAATTTGGTGATTTATGCGCGCAAGTAGTGGTGCGCAAAATTGACAAAAAAAAATGCAAATTTGTAGAGTTTCACGTTGTATAAAATATAGTGTGAGCACGCACATAGTAGGCTGATTAAGAATGAAACAGCCCATCATTTTACACTAGCGTTGAGCGAATCGAAGGTCAAGGGTGCATCAAAAGCTAAAACTTGTGCACATATACTGCTCAGGCCGTTATGTTTGAATGCTCATTGTACTTTATTACCCTCAGATTTGGTGTAAGTTGTTTTCTGATTGCTTACAACAGAAAGAAGGAAACATTCTAGCTCAGGGTTGATAAAAAAAACTCCACCTGCTGACAGATACCAATCGCCTCGGTGCCGATTATGAGTACTGACTGTATGCCAACGGTCGCGTGCTTAGAAACAGTTTTCCCCACGTGATTTCATACAATCGCAATCTCTCCTGACAAACAACAATGTGAAGCTTAGAATCGTTTGTATTAATCGTGGCACACGTGGCAAGTTGCTTTTTTTTTTTTTTTTTTTTTACAATCCGTGAAAAAGAATGCTCTTGGGTTACCTTGGTCTCTAATGCCTCTAGCACACAAAAGAGCACGAACTGAATCGCAGTGGGAAACGAAACAATAATGATAAACAAGTGTGTAATCACGCAAAAACTTATCGGCACTTTTTTCCCCGATATTGTTTTGGGCGCAGCCATCTTGCTGATTAGTAACAAATCAAGCGCAACTGCCAATCGTCATGATTCTAAAGTGTGACTTCCTCAGCATTAGTTTCGGTTTCAGGAAGCTTACGTAATATTGCTTTGCTTTGTCGCAAACTGTTCAAAACATTTCTGGAAAACGGAAAAGTGTTTCCCGTGATTTCAGAAAAAGCTTCAGATAACTGACAACCATCATTGTAAGCACCAAGATATGTATGAAGCGTAGCTTATTTAGTGGCTCTAGGCACAGAAAGAGAACGAACAGGCTCGACCTCGGGCTCTTGGCGCTGCGCTTCAGTGGCTTTATCAGCCCGTAGAGTTGGCTGCGCTCCGGACTAAGGTAAAGCAAAGCAAATATTCAGATCTTAGGGTTTCACAAGCCAAACGAACAAAAATCACTTAACACGCCCCAATAAAAAAAAAGAGCGGGTTTATTTTGACTAACTGGAGATCTTTTGTCGTGCTACCGAAACCTCAGAAAGCCTCAGTCGGATTGCAGGCACCTCGGCCGATATTTAAACCTGACAAAGATGGATTCATGGGCCAGCGCGTCGGCTAAGAGACACTGAGACGATTTAATGTTTCGTGTTTTGTTTTAATATAATTCCCATTAAAAACATTAAAATGCTTTCGCATACGTGGCGGAATCTAAAATGGCAAAATCACTGGCAGAATGCACTTCATGGCGCCCATTTCATTTGGATCGCGTCGGGCATGTGTACCGCCGACGCACAGTAGAACGCGCGAAAAAGTAGCTGTGGTGCACCAGCAGCCTCGCGCTTGTTGTTCTGAGATCTCTGGCTCGCTCACTGCGGGCATCCAGGCATCTGACACCCTGACATCTGGCGCTTTTTCTGTCTTTCACGTCGCGTTCCAAGCGGCACACGACGGAAAATGCACATCAAGCTGTTTCTGAATACGTGTCGCCATCTGTACTTTATATTAAGACACTACAATTTGCTGTAACTGAATGGGAAAAGTTCGAGGTCTTATAACATTCTTAACGTGTAATATATCGATATGAAAGTTCTTGAAAATGTAATATCGAGGGATGCTTCATAATTTAATGTCTCGTTATTTTGATTAGTTGACGTGATTCCGTTTTTAGAGCGCCACAAAATACTACTGTTGGAGAATGGACACGAGACGACGAAGAAGTGGGCAACGGGGCACGCGCGGGAAAAATCCCGCCATGTTTTCATTCTGATAAACCGCTACCATCAGTCGATCGGGTTGTACTGTCTTCAGATCCCAAACAACTGGTGCCTAAACCCGGGATCTAGGAGACGCCCGACAAAAAGAGTGACAGCTCCTCATCTGACAGACTCGGAACTCGGATAACAACTCGCCTTAAGAGAATGGTCCGACTGCGGAGGAAACGAGCCGTCATCCGGTCAGCGGTGACCAGAGCCACTAACGAGTTGCAAGCTCTACTGGATTCCTCAGATGCCACCGCTGGTGAGCTCACAGAGAACTTGAATATCCTCGAACTGAAGGAAGCATAATTGAAGGCAGTTGACCGTGAGATTGAAGACGGGGTTGATACTGAACACATTGAAGAAGAGAGGGAAAGCGTCGAGGCTTATCAAGTATCGATCTGCCGTTTACGAACAAAAGCCACGCTCAAGCTGAATGCCCTGCGCACGCCTAACATCATTTCGAATGCTGTCGAACGGTTACAAGATCGGGACCAAAGCCATCAACGGTCAAGAACGATAGCGATCAAACTTCCAAGATTAAAGATCCGGAAGTTGGAAGGAGACCTCCATAACTGGAAACCTTTCTGGGATCAATTTGAAAGGTCTATACACAACAACCCAGACCTTTCTTCAGTCGATAAATTTAGATATTTGACAAGCTATCTATTCGGAAATGCGGAAGACAGCATACGGGGATTGTCTATTACGGAGAACAACTATAACATCGCTGTGGATCTCTTGAAGGACAGGTTCGGCCAGACCCAGGCGATAATTGACGACCACATGACACGACTCTTGAATTTAAAAAAAACGTCACCACATCGAGCGACGTCACCGCTCTGAGACGGCTCCACGATGATATCACGATAAATGTCCGCAGCCTTGAAGCACTTGGCGTAAAGGCGGAAGAGTACAGTGTGCTTCTACATGCTGCCGTGAAGAAGCGACTTCCTAACGACTTTGTCCTCCGCTACTGCCAGCAAAGAGCCACTGACATCGCAGATAGCACCGGTAGTCTGCAGATGTTTCTGAATTTTCTGAAGTCTGAGGTAGAGAGCCGAGAGCGCGTCCTGGAAATAAAGCCTGATCAAGCCGGTCCATCAAAGGCCCAAAAGGAGGACCCATCAAACCAGGTACGCAAAGCGTACATCACTCCATCGGCGTCGGCTTTAGCTGCAAGGACGGACGCTCAGGATGCCAAATTCCTTTTTTGCGACGCATGTGAGCACTCGTTCGATCAATGCAACGCGCGCTCCATCAGTGAGAAAAGAGAAATACTGAAGAGAGACGGCCGATGTTTCAGGTGCTGCAAGAGATATCACCGGGCAAGAGATTGTCGCAACGCCAGATTTCTCCGCTGCACCAACTGTCAAGGGAGACACATGACTTGCCTCTGGGATCCTGACCTGAAACCCACGAAGGACAGCGCTCATGCATCGTCACAACCAGGCACTTCGGAAGTGTCAGTAACGAGTGCTGTGTCTAACTGCGTCGAAACAGTTCTTCTGCAAACCGCCACAATCTGAGCTGAAGGGAAGACTAAGCGCCGCCTCTTCCGGTGCTTACTGGACGGAGGGAGCCAGCGCACGTTTGTGACGTCCAGGCTTGTCAACGAGCTGTCTTGTCAGGTTCTAGGAAAAGAGGCCTTGAGCATCACAGTCTTTGGTGATACAACCCTTGGTAATGCGAGGAAACTCCGCGAGGTAGAGGTATGGCTCCAAAGCCAACACGATCGAAGAGGGGTACGAATTGAGGCTCTGGAAGTTCCTGCCATTTGCCATTCTTCTGTGTTCCCTGTAAGTCTCTGCAGGACAGCTCAAACCTGCACGCTGCAACTCGCCGACCTTTCGTGCTCAGAGTCCAAGGGGGTCGACATTGACATTGATATACTGATCGGAGCGGATAATTACTGGAAGGCTGTCACTGGGTCCATCAAGCGACTTGACGGAGATTTGACAGCGGTAGAAACAATATTTGGTTGGACACTGCAAGGGCCAGTACGGCAATCACCGGAAGTGGGCTGGCGCCAAACAACTGTTATGCAGGTAATGACTCGACATCAAAGCGACCAGCTTTCTCAACAGCTACGGGCGTTCTGGGAAATTGAAACCCTTGGCGTTCTGGAAAGAGAGCAACACGACGTAAGCACGGACGAAGTCTTTCAATGGTTTCTTTCCACAATTAAGAAACGTGATAACTATTATGAAGTCTGCTTTCCTTGGAAAGAGAACGTCAACAACTTGACCACCAATCAGGATATAGCCCGGAGACGGCTGGAAGGGCTGTCCAGGCGCCTCCTGAAAAACGGGAAACAGTTGAATCAGTACGACCGAGTCATTCGGGAGTACCTTGAAAACAACTTTGCCGATAAAGTCGAAGAGGAACACATGGATGGTCCATGGTACTATATGCCACACAAGGCTGTAATTAAAGATGAAAAAGAAACTACTAAAGTGCGAATAGTCTTCGATGGCTCGTCCAGTGGTCCCGGACAGTTGTCACTAAACGACACACTTCACAAAGGGCCAAATTTGAATCCAGACATTCTAGACCTTCTGCTTAAGTTCCGTACTTACCAGATTGCGATTACGGCAGATATTGAGAAGGCGTTCCTCCAGATCAGGTTGGCTGAACAAGACAGAAATGCTCTACGGTTCTTATGGTACAAGTATCTGCCTGCTTGCGGAGAGGATCTGCCACCTATTGAAGTCTGGCGAATGAATCGAGTGCCCTTTGGAGCAACCTCAAGCCCTTTCCTCTTGGCGGCCACCCTGCGGCATCATTTTGAAAGTGTGAAGGGTCGGTTTCCAGAAACGGCAAGCAAAATGGGAAACCAATTCTATGTAGACGACTATGTGGTAGGAGCACAGACCGTCGAGGAAGCCCAGGCTATGTGTGATACAGTGGCTATGATACTAAGTGAAGCGGTAATGCATCTTCGCGAATGGACAACTAATAGCCGCGAGTTACGTCGAGTAGCAGACGAAACGTCAGTGCACCCTGACATCCACTTCGAACCGACGAACGCGAGCAAGGTGTTGGGTGTGCTCTGGAACCCAGACACCGACACTTTACACTTCGAAGTGTTCAGCTTGATCTTGTTCATCCTGTCAGCAAAATGGACTAAAAGACTGGTACTTCAAGCGACGTCGCGCATTTATGATCCCTTTGGGCTTTTATCGGCGTTTGTAATCAAAGCCAAAATATTGTTTCAAAGAATTTGGCAACGCGGTATAGAGTGGGATGACCCGCTACCCGAAGACATTCAGCAAGAATGGGAAGGCTGGTGTGAAAATCTCGCTTTACTAGGACAACTTCGCATTCTCCGAGCGGTACCCTTTTATAATGGCACGACCTTCCACGTTTTTGCAGATGCCAGCAAGGTAGCTTACGGAGCTGCTATTTACGCCAGGGCCCAAGATGGAAATGGAAATTTGGACGTCAGACTCGTCATCTCGAAGTCACGAGTGGCCCCGATCAAAGATGTATCGTTGCCAAGATTGGAGCTACTAGCAGCCCTTACAGCGGCTCGCCTCATGAATAACGTGAAAAAGAAATTATCATTAAGTGGAGACACATGGTTTTGGTCAGACTCCACGGTGACCCTCTACTGGATCAAGTCCGTAGCAAGCAGGTGGAAACCGTTCGTTTCGAATAGAGTCGCAGAGATTCAATCTCTATCCTCGCCTAGCCAGTGGCATCACTGCCCAGGTGAATCAAATCCGGCTGACCTGCTCGCGCGAGGAATATCGGTGATTCGTTTTCGCCTTTTGTCCCAACATCCCTGACAATTGTGTCAAAAATAAAAATAAACAAACAAACAAAAACAAACAAACATCTAGTCCAGAATACGCTCTGGTGGAAGGGGCCGGCATGGCTAAGTTTAGCTGTATCTGCTTGGCCTCAGGAAATAGCGAAAGGAAATGAGGAGAGCCACGTAGAAGAAAGGAAGACACAAGTACTCCACACTTCCCAAAGCATGAGGCCCGACTTATTTGACTTAGGCAAGTTTAACTGCCTCCAGAGGGTTCTTCGCATTACGTCCTGGATACTTCGATTCTGCTTCAACTTAAGGAATCTGGACAGAAGAGCAGGACCACTGTCAACGGTCAAACTAGAAGCTGCTGAAACCTTTTGGATTATAAAGACACAGCAAGAAGCGTTTGGCAAGCAGTTCATGGAGAATTCAACAATACGGAGCTTCGCACCGTTTAAAGATGATCAAGATATCGTCAGGCTCAGAAGACGGCTGCAATACAGCAACTTGAAGCCAAACGAACAACACCCAATTATTCTACCCTCCGATCATGCCTTCAACAAGTTACTAATCAACAGAGAACACCGAAGAATACTACACGCTGGAGTAAGAGAGACGTTAACACAACTGCGAGACCGATCCTGGATACTGCGAGCACGCCAAGTGGTCAAAAAGTCAATTAATCGGTGTTTAATTTGCAAGCGGTTCTCTGTAAAAGCGGCAAGCGAACCGTATGCACCCTTACCTAAAGATCGAGTTGCTCCATCGGACCCATTTTCAGTTGTAGGCATTGATTTCGCAGGCCCACTGTTTCACCGCTCCTCCACAGGAGCAGAAAAAGCATACATTGTAATATTTACTTGCGCAATAACCAGGTCAGTCCACCTGGAATTGACATGCAGTCTAACGACGCCAGATTTTTTGGCGGCGTTCCGACGATTCACAGCTAGAAGAGGTATCTGCAAAACCATCTACTCGGACAACGGACGCACGTTGAAGCGTGCTTCAAAGGACTTGAAATTGATATGGAGGCTCAACGCCGAGGAAGACATATTAGAACACTTACGACACAACAGGATACACTGGAAGTTCTCAGCCGAAAGAGCCCCATGATGGGGCGGCTTCTGGGAGAGGTTAATAAGATCTGTCAAAACAGCGTTGCGGAAGACGTTGAAGCAAAGCTGTCTGAGGTATGATGAACTGCTAACCGTGCTCATAGAAGTGGAAGCGGTAATTAACTCGCGACCTCTAACGAAAATTACTTCATCCGCCGATGAAGAGGTTCTAACCGCCGAATTTAGAAACCTCACTCAAACTACACTCAAACTGAAGGGCCCCTCCACTTCCTCGAGGAAGGCGCGAGGGCCGGCGCTGGCCAATCGCGACGGCGGATCCGTCCTCGCGTTTGGCCAGCGCCGGCCCTCGCGCCTTCCTCGAGGAAGTGGAGGGGCCCTTCAGTTTGAGTGTAGTTTGAGTGAGGTTTCTGAATTCGGCGGTAACACCTGCACACTTTCTAATCGGCGAAATGCTTACGTCTTTACCTCCTACAACCGTTGAAGCGGAACGGTCCACTCAACAAGAATTATCCAGGCGGTGGAAGACACGTGAAGCTCTGCTAGACGTGTTCTGGTCCCGATGGCGGAAGGAATATCTTTTGGAGCTACAATCTGCGCACACGGTAGGCTCATCTGACTCAAGCGGCATCCAAGTGGGAGATGTGGTGCTCCTCAGGAACGACCGTCGCCCAAGAACATTCTGGGATCTGGCCGTCGTCGACAAGACCTTCCCTGGTCGAGATGGGAAAGTCCGTGCCTGCACTATTCGACTCGGAAGGGGCGTGAAGATAAGAAGGCCCATCCAGCTTCTTTACCGTCTAGAAATTCCGGCAAAACAGTTGGCCTGACTTTGTTGGGTGGGAGGATGTTGGAGAATGGACACGGGACGACGAAGAAGTGGGCAACGGGGCACGCGTGGGAAAAAACCCGCCATGTTCTCATTCTGATAAACCGCTACCATCAGTCGATCGGGTTGTACTGTCTTCAGATCCCAAACAACTACCATTTTAAACTTTATTTTTTTATTTTAAAATATACATTATCTGTACAGTTCGTTGCTTATTTTTAAATTTATTGCATCCAACCGAACGCTCACGTAAAATATCGTGGGGGATGGGACGTTACAACTCGAGAAATAGTTTTTTCAATATTACAGGCTGTGGTCTATGGAAAGTTAAATAAATAACTAACAACTAAAAATAATCGTAATAACGAGACATTAAAGTATCGCTGAAAAACAGCTCTTTAATTTGACACTAACTTTATAATTGTAATATACATAGCAAGAAAGTTATAAGCCGCCAAAAAAGCACCAAAGCGTCATGCACGGTGGGGTTGCACCTTAATTCTTATGCAGACGTTGTCTTTCTTGGGGGGGGGGGAGGGGGGGGACGGGGGGGTTGAATGACAAGAATAAAATTCGATGGACCAAATCTTGTGACATAAAGTAAAGCAACGTCGGATGCGACTAGCTTTTGATACGTACAACCTCGACGACACAATTCTTTTTCCTAAACAAGCGGGGAACATTCTGTATATTGGGTGCAAGACTGTAGCTACTCATAGCTACAGTAGCACTCGCAGAAACCCGACCCACATACAATAAATAAGTTTGCGCTACAAAACCATCACAATAAAGGGCGAAATAAAGTAAGCAAAATATAAAAGAGTTACAGCCACTCATTTACTCCCTCCCCCTTCGTGGATCATCATGGTTTGCTCTGAACCGAGCAACGCTCCCTTTTCTCTTTCCCCCAGATGTTGGCAGCCGAAAACACGTGGTGTCACTCCCCCTAGCAGCTGCAATATCCGATAGCGTGGAAGGGATGCGCGCAACTGGCGAGAGCGTGTAAATAAATGGCCGTTACAAGTTTCCCTTCGGAGCCAGTTGATAAACAGATCATCGCCTTCAGGTGGTGGAGTGCAATTTGGTTTCGAACAAATTCACTGCAGATTTGCCTGGCCATATTCCGAACAGGGTGAGTGAAAAGAACGAGTCTTCTTTTTGCCGCGCGAAATACTTGTATTTCGATTATTACTCTTATTTCAAAATAAAACTGGGAAACTTGTCCAAAGGTTCAAAGGTTCAAAGGTGTTTATTGGCTAAAACAACCATACGACCGAGAGCCTGAGGCAATCAAAAGGCAGAAGCCCGTGCATACATATGCTGATTTCCTCCTCGGCCCGAATAATTGCCGGACTCAATAAATAGTTCACCGCGATAGAACCGGAACATCAACGGTTGGTCTTCCTTAAATTTGTCTAGCCTATCAGAAGAGTGGGGTATGTAGCGCGGCAACGATGGATCCGTTTCAGAGTTGGAAGACCGCCCACACCGTGCCTGTACGGTTACTGGAGCACGATAAATATCATGCTCCTCGTGGGTTGGACTGATTCGCTAAAGGCCAGCCATTGGTGTCTTCAGTTTATCGTGGAGAAGTGCGCCTATAGGAACGTCGGCTATAGTAACACATCACGAGTAGTTGGGATTTCCAGCTACCGTCATTCTTCTTATTATCGCCGGATGTAACACCGTCAGATTAACTAGAATATATAAACCATCCAGTTGCATAAGTGTCCTCTTTTCTATTGTACGCGAATATAACGAGAAACATTTCCATCGCGGTTTCATAGAGTGCGCTTGGCGCGAAAGTAAATTTCACTCAGTTGTGGTCGGTTCTTTCTTTGCAGAATGATATTGATCGTCTTATTGCTTTTGACGGCCGTCTCACAATGCCACGCGAAGCAGCCCCATATAGTGATGATCTTGGTTGATGATTTGGTAAGGTATCTTCTCTTTTTTTTTTTAATAATACAAATTATTTTCCTCTATCCTTCTGATACAAGTCAACTACAAGGGCTTGCCTCACTACATCGCTTTGTAGTGGAGACCCATGCATATTACTTATTTTCGTCGCACGAGTAATCCCGTTATTTTTTTATGCTCAATAAGAAATTCGATAGACTCTCACAATATTCACTCCCAAGGCTGAATCTATCCGAATGTTCGATGTCTCAACAAAGAGGCTCGGCAGGCGGACAACGAATACTCCCTGAATGAGATTACATCAAATGACGCATGTTAAATATACCTAGGGTTAGGAGTTTTCGGTTTAAACCGATAAAAACCGATAAAAGTACGTCGAATCCATTTTCGTAAATTCGGTTTTAACCGAAAAAGGTCAGGTTTTAGGCTCGGCCTTTTCAATTTAAACCGATAAAAACCGATAAAAGTACGTCTAATTCCTTTTCTAAAATTCAGTTTTAACTGGAAAAGGTCACTTTGACCTTCCAGTCGTACCGCAGAGCCTTGGCGAAAAAATGGAACGACAGTGTCTATAAACAGATGTCCGAATGTATGGGATAGAAGGATGCCATCACGTTGTTTTGGTTTAATGTGTCCGTCATCGCACATTAAACCAAACGTGAAGTCCGAAATGCTTCATGACTTCGCCATGTACGAGCGTGTTTTCAAACTCGTTGTGAAAAAAACTGACTTGATGCAAGCTCTGCATGGTGTGTTGTGCCTCAAAACGTCGCACCGTGTCTCTTTTTGCGGTCACAATTGATTTATTGGCCGATTTTGGCTCAGGCAGCGCTTCACCTCCTCATCCGGCCACTGTCCAGTGTTAGCGTTAAGAGGGCATTCTCGAAGCTCAGGGTCATATTAACA